CTTGACTAGGTGGACCTTTGTTGGCAAAATGATGTCTCTGTTTTTTGATATGCTGTCTAGCTTGGTCATAACTTTCCTTCCAAGAAGTAAGCATCTTTTAATTCCATGACTGCAGTCACCATCTGCAGCGATTTTGGAGTCCAAAAAAATAAAGTCTGCCACTGTTTCCAATTTCTCCATCTATTTGCCATGTTGTGATGGGACCGGATGCCATGATCTTAGTTTTCTAAATGCTGAGGTTTAAGACAACTTTTTCACTCTCCTCTTTCACTTTCATCAAGAGGCTTTTTAGTTCATCTTCACTTTCTGCCATAAGGATGGTGTCATCTGCATATCTGAGGTTATTGATATTTCTCCTGGCAATCTTGATTCCATCTTGTGCTTCATCCAGCCTCGCGCATCTCATGATGTACTCTGCATATAAGTTAAATAAGTAGGGTGACAATATACAGCCTTGACATACTTCTTTTCCTATTTGGAACTAGTCTGTTTTCCATGTCCAGTTCTAACTGTTGTTTCCTGACCTATATACAGATTTCTCAAGAGGCAGATCAGGTGGCCTGGGATTCCCGTCTCTTTCAGAATTTTCCACAGTTTGTTGTGATCCACACAGTCAAAGGCTTTGGCATAGTCAATAAAGCAGAAATAGATGTTTTTTTGGAACTCTTTTGCTTTTTTGATGATCCAGCGGATGTTGGCAATTTGATTTCTGGTTCCTTTGCCTTTTCTAAAATGGGCTTGAACATCTGGAAGTTCATGGTTCACGTTCTGTTGAAGCCTGGCTTGGAGAATTTTGCGCTTTAGTTTACTAGTGTGTGAACTGAGTGCAATTGTTCAGTAGTCTGAGCATTCTTTGGCATTGCCTTTCTTTGGGATTGGAATGAAAACTGTTTCCAGTCCTGTAGCCACTGCAGCATTTTCTAAATTTGCTGGCATATTGAGTGCGGCACTTTCACAGCGTCATCTTTCAGGATTTGAAATAGCTCAACTGGAATTCCATCACCTCCACTAGCTTTGTCCGCAGTGATGCTTCCTAAGGCCCACTTGACTTCACATTCCAGGATGTCTGGCCCTAGGTGAGTGATCACAGCATCCTGATTATCTGGGTCATGAAGATCTTTTTTGAATAGTTTTTCTGTGTATTCTTGCCACCTCTTCTTCATATCTTCACTTCTGTTAGGTACATACCATTTCTGTCCTTTATTGAGCCCATCTTTGCATGAAATGTTCCCTTGGTATCTCTAATTTTCTTGAATAGATCTCTAGTCTTTCTTTCCCATTCTAATGTTTTCCTCTATTTCTCTGCACTGATCACTGAGGAAGGCTTTCTTATCTCTCCTTGCTATTCTTTGGAACTCTGCATTCAAATGGGTATATCTTTTCTTTTCTCCTTTGCTTTTTGCTTCTCTTCTTTTCACAGCTATTTGTAAGTCCTCCTCAGACAGCCATTTTGCTTTTTTGCATTTCTCTTTCTTGGGGATGGTCTTGATCCCTGTCTCCTGGACAATGTCATGAACCTCTGTCCATAGTTCTTTAGGCATTCTGTCTACCAGCTCTAGTCCCTTAAATCTATTTCTCACTTCTACTGTATAATCATAAGGGCTTGATTTAGGTTATACCTGAATGGTCTAGTGGTTTTCTCCACTTTCTTCAATTTAAGTCTGAATTTGCCAATAAGGAGTTCATGATCTGAGCCACAGTCAGCTCCTGGTCTTGTTTTTACTGATAGCATAGAGCTTCTCCATCTTTGGCTGCAAAGAATATAATCAATCTGATTTCAGTGTTGACCATCTGGTGATGTCCATGTGTAGAGTCTTCTCTTGTGTTGTTGGAAGAGGGTGTTTGCTATGACCTGTGCATTCTCTTGGCAAAACTGTTAGCCTTTGCCCTGCTTCATTCTGTACTCCGAGGCCAAATTTGCCTGTTATTCCAGGTATTTCTTGACTCCCTATTTTGCATTCAAGTCCCCTATGATGAAAAGGACATCTTCTTTGGGTGTTAGTTCTAAAAGGTCTTGTAAGTCTCCATAGAACCATTCAATTTCAGCTTCTTCAGCATTACTGGTTGGGGCATAGACTTGGTTTACCGTGATATTGAATGGTTTGCCGTGGAAACGAACAGAAACCATTCTGTCATTTTTCAGATTGCATCCAAGTACTGCATTTCAGACTCCTGTTGACTATGAATGCTGCTCCACTTCTTCTAAGGGATTCTTGCCCACAGTAGTAGATATGATGGTCATCTGAGTTGAATTCATCCATTCCAGTCCATTTTAGTTCGCTGATTCCTAAAATGTCAATGTTCACTCTTGTAATCTCTTGTTTGACCACTTCCAATTTGCCCTGATTCATGGACCTAACAATCCAGGTTCCTGTGCAATATTGCCCTTTACAGCATCAGATTTTGCTTCCATCACCAGTCACATCTACAACTGGGTGTTGTTTTTGCTTTGGTTTTGTCTCTTCATTCTTTCTGGATATTGGGCACCTACCAACCTGGGCAGTTCATCTTTCAGTGTCCTATCTTTTTGCCTTTTCATACTGTTCATGGGGTTCTCAAGGCAAGAATACTGAATAATTCATTAATTCATAATACTGATAATTCATTGGAAATAACTACCAAAATTACCCAATATGAAACAGATAATCTGAATTGTCCTACAGAGATTAAGGAAACTGAATTCATAGTTAAATTCACCTCCCCTACCCTGCAAAATCTCCAGGCCCAGATAGTTTCATTATCAAATATTTATGAGGGAGTAATATTAGTTCTCCACATTTTCTTATACAAAAGAGAAAAGAATAATTTATAAACTCATTTCCTAAAGCCAGAATTATCAAAAAATCAGACAATGACTATCCAAAACAGAGTAAATTACAGGATAATATCCTTCATGTACAGAAGCAAGAAAAAAAACAAACTGAAAGACCACTCAAAAAATATTGGCAAAGAGTATCCAGCAATATACAGAAAGAAAAGTGCAACATGACAAAGTATTCACTGTGGGAATGAATGACTGGCTCAATATTTGATAATCACTTAAAATCCACATTAAAAACACATAATAATATCAATTGATACAGAAAAAGCATCCAAAAAAATTCAACATCCATTCATGATAAAACTTGCAGCAAGCTAGGAATAGAAAAATAACATCCTCAACCTGATAAACAGCATCTACCCAAAACCCATATCTAACATAATACTTAATGATGAAAGACTGAATGCTTTCCTCCCAACATCAGGAAAAAGACAAGGATATCTCCTCTTATCACTTCTACTCAACACTGTACTTGATGTTCTAGCTCACTCAATAACACAAGAAAGAAAAAACCAAATTGGAAAGGAAAAAATTCTTTTTTTTTTTTTTTGCAGATAAGATCTAAGTAGAAAACCTAGAGAAATATACAGAAACTCTTCTATTCTTGATAGGTGACAATAGAAAGGTTGTAAGATGTAAGACTGTACCAATGCAATGGACAAGAACCTGGGAAAATTTTGGGGAGATGGTGAGGGGCAGGAAGGCAAGGTGTGTTGTAGTCCACGGGGTCGCAAAGAGTTGGACATAACCAAGCGACTGAACAATAAGATATAAGGTTAACATACAAAACTCAATTTTATTTCTATATATTATTAATGAAATAATTGAAATTAAAATTTAGTAAAGTAACACTATTTACCAACAGTATAAAAATATGAATTCTTAGAGATAAATCTGACAAGAGGTGTCAAAGACATATACTGTCAACATCATAAGATATAAAGTCAAAACAAAAATCTACATTTCTGTAAACTAGTAATAGGCAATAATAAAACAATTTTTTAATTAACAATAACACAAAATGTAAATAGTTAGATATAAGTCTAACAAAATATGTGCAAGTTCTGAATGCTGAAAATTGCAAAATATTGATTGATGAAAGAAATCAAAGACCTAAGCAAAAGGAGAGACATATTGTGTTCATAGATGGGAAAAAACAAGACTTCCTTTCTCCCCAAGTTGGTCTATTTTTTCTAAAGAAAAAAAATGCTTGATTCTAAATTTTGTATGGAAAGGCAAAGGAACTAGAATAACAAACAATTTTGAAAAAGAAAAATAAAGTTGAAGGAAACACAGTACCCTATTTTAATGACTTGGTATAAAGCTACAAGAAACAAGAAAAAGGGCTATTGGCAATGGGAGAGACACAAAAATAAACTGAACAGAATAGAGAGTCCATAAATAGACCCACATATATACAGCCAATTGATTTCTGACAAAGCTGCAGAAGCATTTCAATGGAGAAAGAATAGTGTTTTCAACAAATAGTTCTGGAACAATCAAGTATCTCTATGTGAAACAAGGGACCTCAACCTAAATCTCACACCTTATTTAAAAAAAAAAAACTCAAAATGCATCATAATCCATATAAAATTTAAAATTATATAACTTTCAGAAGAAGTCATAGGAGAAAAATCTTCATAAACTAGAGCTAGGCAGAGTTCTTAGGACACCAAAAGCATAACTCACTAAAAATAAATTTGAGAAACAGTAACTTCATCAAAATTAAATATAGTTTACAGAAAAAAAAAGAAGGTTTTTTCTAAGAGAATAAAAGGACAAGCTACAGACTTCGAGAAAATCTTTACAAATCATAAATCAGCAAAGGACTTACATTCAAAGTGTATAAAGAATTTTCAAAATTCAGCATGAAGAACACAACTCAATTAGGAAAATGACTGAAAGATTTGAAATGATACTTCACTGAACAGTATATACAAATGGCAAAATAAGCACCTGAAGAACGTTCAACATTGTTAGGGAGATGCAAACTAAAATCACAATGTGATAACTACCACATATCTATTAATGACAAAATTTTAAAAATAGAGTATATCAGGTGTTTGTGAGAACACACAGCAAAAGGAACCTTCAGACTTTGCTGCTTGGACTGAAAAATGGTATAGTCACTCAGAAAAACAATTTGACAGTTATTTGTAAAGTTTAAATATACACTTACCATACAATCCAGCAATCTCACTCCTGGACATTTACCCTAGAGAAATGAAAGCTTAGGTTCACACAAAAACCTGTATGTGAATGTTCATAACAGCTCTATTCATAACTGCCAAAACCTGGAATAACCTACCTGTCCTCCACAAGTAAATGGATTAACTGTGGTTCATTTATACAATGGAATACTAGTAAGCAAAAAAAACAACAAACTATAGATATATACAACAACATGGATGAATCTTACAGGTAAGTCTCAAAACATTACATACTATATATTCTAATTTTATAAACATCACATTATTTTTTTTTAAACATCACATTATTATTTTATAAAATTACCAAAAAGACAAACTAAAGTAATAGAGAATAGATCAGTGGTTTTCAGGAGTAAAGGATAGGACAAGGGTATGATTGCAGGATTTAACCACAGTACAATTATAAAGGCACAAGAGAAATTTGAGGGGAGATGGAACTGTTCTGAACATTCCTTGTGGTGGTTGTTAAATGAATTTTATAGATATATTTAGATCATAGAGTTGTATGCCAAGAATAAATCAAGTTTATTGCAAGAGAATTAAAAAATAAACCAAAAAGATTACATTGAATTAAAAAAGTGGTTTGCTCAGCACTGTCTTTTCCTGACAGTTAGCTGAGTAGATGCTCAGTTAACATCAGCTGAACAAAAACACTGAAAATTGGCTGCAGTTTCTGCTTTAACATTAATCTTATTTATATCCCTAAGCTTCAAACATGTAGATAACTTTTTGTAGTATCATTAACATTTTCTATCATGGTATCTGCCACAGAAAGATTTCTAGTTTACACAAAAAAATAATTTAAAATATCAAATGAAAGTAAGAAATCTATTATTCCAACCAATTATTTTAACCTTTAAAGATTATCATTAATAATAGGTAACTTTTTCTTTATATCTTGTATGCATATCTTTCTCATTAAAAAAGGGAGCAGGATTTGTTTTTAAGTCGTTACCCTAAGGCATGATACACAAAACAGATATTTGATGAATGTTTACATAATCAACTAATCTTCATTAAACATTAAATGAGCTGAATAGTTGAGCCATTAATTTATCTTGAATAATAACTCTTTCTAGGATTTATCCTTTTCCTTGAACTGACTACTAAAAATTGTTCTTCCTTCTAATTCAAACCACAGTGTGTTTAAAAAAAACAAAAAACAAAAAAACAAAACCACAGTGTGCACTCAGACTGTGAGTTTGTGTCATGCCTATGCAGCTACATGCTTTCAGATTTTTTTTGGCCAAGGACATGTTGGGCATCTGTTTGCTGGCAGCTCCCGTGCAAGCAAGCAAATGGGACCCCACTATACCATTCCTGTACTGACTTGTCAAAGGTCTGCCTAAGACTCAGTCACTTCAATCAATTATCCAAGCAGATTGGTTAGAGCACAAGTGTGTGAAAGAATAAAAGCAACTTCATTAAAAAAAAAAAAAAAGACCATTAATTCTGGTCTTTGCTTTAAATTGTGTGAAAAAAGTGTGTTCCTACACTAGAAAATGATTAAAAACATAACCAAGGTTTTTAGACAAACCTAGCCTAAGAATTAAACACATCTTGAAAACTGTAAAGATGCCATTTGTATGTACTTACAACACAGAACAAGGATAATTCCCACACTTCTTTGAAGTTTCTGTTTGTTAAGAGAATTATTTTAGAGCGCTCCACACTGTTTTTAAGGTATTATTTCTGTTAACATAGCTAATATGATCATCTCTAATTTATCTAGGTTTCAGTCAAATTTTCAATAAATTTTTGAACTTTATAGCTCTGAAAAATTAAACTATAAAGTATATTAAAATGGTGCTAAAATATATTCACTTTTTATATCCTACAATATATGCTTTGATACCACATTACACCATTACTTGCAAAGAAACCAAACTAAACTGCTTTTGTCAGAAACCTGTCAAAAATATAAGAAACAATCTAACCAAAAGATGAAAACATTTAACCTGATTGAAGCACCTAATACAGTAAGTTTATTTAGCCCATGACTAAGGTCATAAATACTAAGCTTAACTAAGAATGAACTATTCATGTAAAGTTATAGCTTTCTATATTTTAGCTCTGAGAACACTGTTAATATTTAATATGCTAATTAATAAGGACTGCAATCTATTATGACCAAGCAAATAATAAAGTAAATTTGCAAAAACAGTTTATATAGAAGTAAGCCAGTCCTCAAACTCCCAAATTTTCATGAGCACCTCATCCACTGGCTTTAATTGAAGGACCTAACACTGGTTTCCTTCACACACCCCACCCCTGAATGTATCATTTTGGGTACAAGAGTTCAAACCACAGAGAAGCACCCTCTCCCATAAAATTACATGGTCAATTATCCTTTAGATAATTTTCACAGTTTAGCACAGTTAACCATATCTGGCTCATTTGGGCACATAAATAAACCAGGCTCCTTGAAAATATCCATTTAAACTAAATGTAATGAAAATTAATGAATTTCTTACTATACTGCATTTACTCAGGGAAACTTTGTTTCAATTTAACCTGAAAAATCAACACTGCAAAACAATCCTAACTTGAATATATTTCAAATGTGTATGACAACCTAGCCTCAATACCACGAGAGGAATGTTCCTATGAAGTATTTGCAAAATTGGGGAAAACCTCACAAAAGGGCATTTTCTAAATATGTGTAAGCACAGAGACATGATTATACCTGCCAGTTATAACAGAGCTATATGATTATTAAGTTCACCAGGTGAAATGACATTTCAGAAATCACTCAGACCTAAGTTTTTATAATAAAGGTATTCAAATTTAGCTCCTCTCCCCAACATCTGACATTTATAATAAGGGGTTTTTAGGAAACTCTATTAAAAATTACCTGCTTCTGCAGCCACCTCTCATGCCTTCGTTGTTTCCGTCTCAGATTCTTCAGCTTGCTCTTCTCTCTCTTACTGAGCCTCTGATTAATGGCACCCAGTGAAAAACTGCCCGAGTGCAGGAAGTTCAGAGGAGAGAGGTGCTCGTCCTGGTCTGCGGCCTCCAGCGTGCTCCTGCCAGCTGCAGGCAGGTCCATCAGGAAAGTCAGGCTGTTAGGACTAGCATGGCCAGAATACACAGCAGAAGCTTCTAGACCATGCTGAAATTCTCCTCCTCTTTGTGTCTGGGTCTCACGGGGAGCCACTGAATATCTTTGCAGCAGCATATTAGGATCAAAACTGGATGAAATCTGAAAGGAACAGTTATTTTTATTCGATTCTAAAGGCAAGCTCGGAAGGTCAATAGGCTGTGTCTCATTGAGCCCAGGATACACAGTAGTCTTACTATGGATTTCATATAAAGTGGGTAATAAAGTCAGTTTCTCACTGATGCTCAGATCCAAACTATGTGATTTTCTATGAAAAGCTCTCGGAGCGCATCTGGTGGTCACAAGCTGTGGAACAAAAAGCTGATATTTTGGATCTGACGCTTTGAAGAGCAGTTTTTCGTTCTTCATTTTGAAATATGTTGACCGTACCTCCAGGCAGAGTGCTTCAGTTAATCTTCCAGGACCACTATTATTTGGGCCCATGTTTAAAAACCTGTGATTTCTGTTTCTGCAGGCGCCACCTGTCAGCAGAGTTTCCTTGTCACCACCTGACTGAACTCTAGGATGTGACAAGTATTTCAGCGATGGTCTCATTAGTCGGCCTGACCGTGTTGGCTGATAATCGGTACGGCTCTTGGAGAGATGTACAGCTGCAAGCTGGCCACAGGAACATTTTGGAGTGCTGACAAAATTAAAGCCCCCTAAACGGGCCCCACAGAAAGGGCAATTCAGTTTTCCAACTGTCCACTGGGCCTACAGGTAATAAAGGAAAATAAAAACAATGCTTTCATTGTAAAGTAACCAAAGAGAATGTGAGTTTTTGTTTTTTTTTTTAAAGCCGACCACATGAAAGTTTTCTATGCCACAGAAAAGGCCAGCTTTCTGTTTTCTGATTAGTAGACAGAACAGTAAATGGAAACAAACCTTCCAATAAACAGAGATAAGAAGCTCCAAAGGTCTAGAATGATAACATACTGCACATCACACCCATCTACACAATACTCCTAAGATTCTAAAAGAGTCTTTTAGACAATAGACTGAATATAGATACAGTGTGAACTAATGAAAAGAAAAATACACTATGGAACCAGGAAGCAAATCAGTCTACAGAGCTTAATTTGCAAGTAAAATCTCACAGAAAAGTGTCTGTTTTGATACACTTCTTGCATACCAAGCACTGTGGGAGGGAACTTTACCCAAAAAGCAGAATAAAGCTCTTCCTGCCTTTTTACATACAACTGGAAGATATTGGTTGCATGTATCAGTTAGTTCATTTTCTCTCTTCAGATTACAAATAAATAATGAACTAGCTTAAAAATATCTTTTAACAGAAATAGTGGAATATCTGAAATGTGCTAATACATTCTGCAAAGTTCAGGACACTTATAAACAGTACCCTGGCATTCTCCCAGGAAATCACTACAATGTGAGAATGAATGCAAGAGATATTTAGCTAATGTTATTTTTTAACCAAAAAAGAAAGCTAATCAGTGGAGAAAACCAACTATATTTTTCCCCAAATCATATTACCTATACTTTTCTAATACTTAGGTGTTTTGAACTGGGAGAAATAATGAGGTCACATTGAACACATTCTTGCTCTTATACTATTTCATTAAAGATTCTTAAAAGTGTGGTTTTTTCATTCTGATTGTGCCAGTCAGAGTCATTAATTTTCTTTTTTTTCCGGGCAAGAATACTGGGGTGGGTTGCCATTTCCTTCTCCAGGGATCTTCCAAACCCAGGAATCAAACCATCTGGTGTAGTGCTAAAGAATTCACCTGCCAATGTAGGAGATGCAAGAGATGTGGGTTCAATCCCTGGGTCTGGAAGATTCCCTGGAGAAGAAAGTCGTAACCGGCTCCAGTATTCGTGGCTGGAAAATTTCATGGACAGAGGAGCCTGGGGGCCTAGAGTCCATGGGGTTGCAAATAGTCAGATACGATTGAATGACTGAGCACACATACAGTATATCTTTATTGCTTATCTACTGTATACATAGAAGTGTGTATTAATATGTTCATCCCATACCCTAATTTGTCTGTCTCCCCTTCCTCTCTCCTTAAGTAACCACAGGTTTACTTTCTATATCTGTGAGTCTGTTTCTCTTTTGTGTATGTATTCATTTGAGCCAGTTTTTAGATTCCACATATAAGTGATATAACTGGAGTAGGAAATGGCAACCCACTCCAGTATTCTTGCCTGGAAAATTGCACACACATAAGTGATATTATATAGTATTTATCTTTGGCTGACATTTCACTAAGCAAAATATTCTATATGTCCATCAACATTGCTTCAAAGGGTAATGCTTCCTTATTTTTTATGGCTAAGTAATAGTAATTTTTCAAGTTGATTTTACATGTGTGTGCATACATGAGTGATACTCACAGGATATTTCATTCACTTCACAGGGACTGTTCTAGGTACTGGGGGACAAAAACTTCTGACTTCATGGAGTTTATATCCTAGTAGAGAATCTAGGTAATTAACATGATCAGTAAGTCATTTGTGTATGTGGGTGTGTATGTATATGTATGTGCATATGTGTATGGATGTGCATAATAATTTATATATGTCATACATACTTAAGCATATTTACAAGTTCTACATATCTTGTAAAATCTGTGTGTAAAACATAGATAGGTATATTAAGTAGAGAAGGGAGAAAGGAAGTGTTGAGTGGTAATAGTGTGGAGAGGCAATTGATAGATTGGCCAGGCGATGCCTTCATTAAGAATAAAGACCTAAGAAAATGAAGGAACAAGTAAGTAGTGGTGGAAAGAGAATTCAAAGAAGGGAAATTTTCAAGTGCAAAGTCTGATAAAGAAGTACTCAGAGCACTGCAGTAACAATGAAGAAAGCAGTAAGCGTCATCAAGAGTTACATACCCTTTCATGTTTCCTGAAACAATGCATCCAAGAAAACTAGCTCTCAAATGAGGACAAAAACATTCTGAAAGTAGTATATTCCTAAATTTACTCAGAAACTAAGGAACTTACTTTTTGTATCAGGCAGTGTATCCATTCTGGAAGAGCTTCTATATTCATGTGCCACACATGACAAATATTTTCATCATCAGCTGAATCATTTGTATTCTGTTATATCAAAATGAATGATATTAGTCATGACTAGTTCAGATTTTATTTCACAAAATTCATATTTAAGTAAAACACAAAAATATAAATTCACTTTTAGGTAGGAAGGAAATATATACTGCCCTTCTCTCCTTATTCCCTTGCCAAGACAAATCTAGAAAGGTTCCCCCCCTCCGCCCTATGGAATAGCCACATTTAAATTGACAAAAAATAAACAAACAAAAAAAATCCCTCTACTTCATTGAGACCATCAAATTAAAACATGAGCACAAAGTCACTGAATAGACAAATTTGGCAACCCATTTTATTCTGTGTGAGAAAAACTATTCATGACAACTTTCTCCAGCCTTCAATCTCCAATTCTAATAACAGAATGAAGGAGTTACTATATTCGTCATCAAGATGCTCAAGAAAAGTTTAAAAGGGGAACTCCACACTTTCACTAATGGTTAGGACTCCACGCTTTCACTGCTGAGGGCCTGGGTTTGATCCCTGTTTGGGGAACTAAGATCCTGGTGTGGCACAGCAAAAGAAAAAAAGAGAAGAAAAAAGTTTTAGAGGATTGGGAGAGAGGAATAATTGTGCAGGGAGCTAAAAAGGCCCTGAGTTTCAGCTGTGTAAGTATGGCGAAAATTTCAGGGACAGTTTTGGCCTTTTGAAGTAGATTTGCAGAAATAAATGTGATCTATAGTTGAGACACTATGACTTCCCAGTTTGGTTCTTTAATACCTTTGTGACCTCTGTGACCTTAGGACAGTTGCTTTACTTCTCTGGGTCTCTGTTTCTTTTCCTGTTAAACTCCACTAGATAACTGGCTCAGGTCCCTTCCGGGTCTACAGAATTTCATGCTATGAGATGGCAGAAAGTGTTGATTGACAAGAACAGGGCAAGTACATAGCAGATGGGAATAACACAAAGAATGGTCTATGCCAAAGCTGTGACAAATGGAAGCAAAAAGGGCCCTGGGGAACTATCAGTGGTGAATTTGAAGCCAGCCTGTCTCCAGGCAAGAGCAGTACTTGGGACAGAAAGAAACGGCAACATTTCTAAAAGTATGGCTGGAAAGGCCTGGACAAAAATGGAGCATTTGCAATATGTCCAGGAGATGAGCTACTGAGGACCAATCTCTATTCTGGCTGAAAATATTATCATATGAAAATATCACATTATTTAATATGTTAACTACCTCAACATATAGTGTGAAATAGATTTAATAATAAGGTACATCTCTAATACACACTTTTTTTAAAGCAAGTGAAAAAGAAGTAAATATACTCTGAATTATGATATTATAAGCATATACAACCTAAAAAATCAATATTATAACCTTTCTATGGAAATATATGTATATAAATAGAAAAGGTACCTCACAGACTGTGTACCAAATTGACATCACATGGTTTGAAGAAAGAAAGGAGTTCAAGATTAGGAAAGTTACTAAAAGGAAACCAACTTTTCCATAATTGTTTTAATGGGAAAATATATTTACACAATTAAAATTTTATTTAAAATCGATGTAAATAAAATACATTGATTACTTCTGGCCCTAACAATACTGAAGTAAGTGGTATTAGACATGCTCTCACCATTACAACTGATAAAACTAGGCAAAATATATTAAAGAATCATTTTAAGACATTAGACCAAAGAAGAAAAAAAAAAGCACAGGGCTGTGATCTCTCAGATAAGTCAAATAAATGAGGTTAGCCTAAAAATAACCCTGGATTTTTGCCTCAGGGAATGTCAGAACCTTAGTGTAGGGAGGAGGAACTCAATTAGTGTATGGCAGCCTTGCTGATTTAAGACAAAGATCAGAGGCTATAAAGGCTAAACACCCAGAATTTACAGGATGTTGTACCAGCGAGGCCTGTAATTAGAAAAAAGTTCCAGAAATCTGTACAGTAATTCCTCTAAATTTTTGGTTGAATACCATTATGGAGGTACATAGGGTGAGATATCACACAATCAGATAAAGAAAATTTACTCTGGAAAAGACATCTTCCAGTGAGCTGTAAGCATAACTATTCACACAGGGCTCACAGCAAAGCTGGGAAGATTTTCAAGTTCCAAGCAGCCAGAGTAGAAGGATCTCAAGGAATATACGGAGTATTTAGGAAAGATTCCAGAAGAGTTCTGTCTTAAAAGTAGGGCTAAATTAGCCCAAGAGTAAAGGCTACTAAAAACCAACCCTAATAAAGTTGAATATAAGCCTCCAAAGAATGAAATTCAATCACAAATAACTTGTATGTCTGCTAAAACATTCTTTAAAGGAAGAATAATATTCAGACACTCAGTAATGTTAAATCGAAATGTTGTACCTACAAGAGAAATTACTAGATTACGTACCAAAAAAAAAAAAAAAATGTGACCCACAACCAGGAGAAAAACTGTTCAATGCAAATAACCCCCACATTCCACCACGTTGATGTTTGGTAGAAAAATCATGCTGATGTTTGGCAGAAACCAACACAATTTTCTAAAGCATTTATCCTTCAATTAAAAAACAAATTAAAAAAAAATCCCCCCCAAAGTGGAGAAGACTGAATAAATAGACAGATTTTAAACCAGCTATGACAGATATTTTCATGAGTATAATGAGAAGATAAATTACCTGAATACTAAATGAATGGTTTATCTAGAGAAAAAACTTCTGAAATTAAAATTCTCACTTATTAGAAAATTGATACTGTCGAAGAAAATATTAGTGAACACAAACATATAGAAGTAAAAATGATGAAAAAAAAATTTAGCATAGGAAGAAAAAAGAGGAAAAAAATGAGCAAAATTGAAGTGATTGCGGGAAACATCAAATATTGTAACATAAATGTAAATGCCCCTTCATGGATCACAGCCTTGTCGTGGCACAGGGACTTGAGTAACTCAATGAGCCATGCCATGCAGGGCCACCCAAGGCTAACGGGTCATAGCAGAGTTCTGACAAAACATGGTCCACTGAAGGAGGAAATGGCAACCCACTCCAGTATTCTTCCCTCGAGAACCCCATGAACAGTATGAAAAGGCGGAAAGATATGACACTGCAAGATGAGCCTCTAAGGTCAGAAGGTGTCCAATGTGCTCCTGGGGAAGAGTGGAGGGACTGCTGGGAGAAATATCAAACCTCAGATATGCAGATGATATCACTCTAATGGCAGAAAACAAAGAGGAACTAAAGAGCCTCTTGATGAAGGTGAAAGAAGAGACTGAAAAAGCTGGCTTGAAACTCAACATTAAAAAAAATCTAAGAGCATGGCATCTGGTCCCATCACTTCAGGCAGAAAGGGGAAAAATGGAAGCAGAGACAGATTTTATTTTTGTGGACTGTGGACAGTGACTGCAGCCATGAAATTAAAAAAGACGCTTGCTCCTCTCCCTTCCTGACCTGACCATGATGACAGGGTGGCTGACAGAACCCCTGGAGCACCCTGCCTCCCAGCCAAGCCAGGGGATCCTTGGGACAGCCCTATGTGCTATCGGCCCACTGTTCACAAGAGGAAACAGGCTGAGGGTCGGCCATGAGGTTAGGGTGGAGCCTGTCCTGTCCCCACCACTGTCCTGCCTTCCAAGGTCCTATGGCCGAGCAGCCCTGTCCTGGTGGGGGCAGGGGCCTGGGGTGCCCATGCTGGCTGTGGGCCTGGCAAGTGAGCATCTTTGGCAAGGGGCCAGGAATGTGGGGATGGACCCAGGCACATGTCAGTACTTTGGAGAATTTTTTTCTCAAGCAATAAAAAGTAGAAGCTTGTCAGCATCATGATGAACTGAAGTGTGAATCCTGAAACACCTTTGCTGGCCTGTGGTTTGAGACGAGAGAGAGTAAAGATGCCAACCTGCACTTCCCCCTCACCCCCAACCTACCATGGACTTTGTGCAGAGGTCAGGGGCCCTGGCAAAAAAAATAACAAAAGGGAAAAAAAAAAGACACTTGCTCCTTGGAAGGAAAGCCATGACAAACCTAAACAGTGTATTAAAAAACAGAGACATTAAAAAAAAAAAAGGCAGAGACATCACTATGCTGACAAAAATGATATAGTCAAACCTATGGTTTTTCCAGTAGTCATGTATGCATGTGAGAGTTGGACCAAAAAGGCTGAGTATGAAAGAACTTATGCTTTCAAATTATGGTGCCAGAAAAGACTCTTGAGAGTCCCCTGGACTGCAAGATCAAACCAGTCAGTCCTAAAGGAAATCAATCCCGACTATTCATTGGAAGGACTGATGCTGAAGCTGAAGCTTCAATACTTTGGCCACCTGATGCAAAGAGCTGCATCATTGGAAAAGACTCTGATGCTTGGAAAGATTGAAGACAAAAGGAAAAGAGGGTGGCAGAGGATGAGATGGTTAGACAGCATCACTGACTCAATGGACATGAATTTGAGTGGAGAACAGAGGAACCTGGCATGCTGTGAACCACGGAGTTGCAAAGAGTTAGGCTCAACTTCAGTTTACTTCAGTTCAGTCGCTCAGCCGTGTCCAACTCTTTGCGACGCCATGAATCGCAGCACGCCAGACCTCCCTGTCCATCACCAACTCCCAGAGTTTATTCAAACTCATGTCCATCGAGTCGGTGATACCATCCAGCCATTTCATCCTCTGTCATCCTCTTCTCCTCCTGCCCCTAATCAGCTTAACTTAGAAACTGAAAAACAACAGCTGAACACGTGTAAACGGAGAAAAGACAGGACAATAGGATAAATTATGGCTGAATTTTCCAAAGGCCTATAGATCAAAGAAGCTCAAGGATTCTTAAATAGTGTAAACACAAGGGAAACTACGACTCTTAATAAAATCGCTGAAATTCAGTGACAAAAGTAAGCATCAAGAGAAAATAAGTATCCTACAAACAGGATAAAGAAGAAAACAATGATTTTTGGAATTCCACTTTGGGCCATAAAGGAACAGGAGTTTAGAACTAGCTTCCTGCAACAAACAACTAGGAAACTGAACAAAATGTAACAAGCAACTATTTTCAGTCAGTAGGACAACAGGCAGCGAAACAGTGACTT